GCTTTCAAACCTGCCTGCCACTCTCCATCCCAACAATGATAGTTAAGAGAGAAGGAACAAGACATTAATGTCATACTTGCTGCATTGCACTGATAACCCCCTCCACACCTTTGGCTTCTTTCACTCCCTTTTAGAGCAGGGAAATGACTGCCCAAGAGCTTAAAGCTGCTCAGCTAATGCCTGTACAGCAGTTGGCACACTGCAGCCTTGAGGCAACATCCCCTAAATCCTTGTGCAGGGAGCAGGGATGCAGCAGCCGATGCTGCCAGCACTGTGGGTGCAACACCCTTCACCCACAGCCAGGGCTCCCCAATCCTTCCAGCACACACAGGAGCAGAGGAAAAGCTGGCAGTACTACCTGGTATATCCAGGCTTCTGCTCCTGTTGACAAACTGTGGGAAGGGAAGGCACTTTTGACAAGGACAGGCCACAAAGCAATAGGCACAGAGACACAGCACACTGACAGGAAGCAGGCAAAACCTTTCTCCCTGTGGTCACAAAATACTTCCCACCACTTTATAAAATATGGGTTTGCATGCCTTGCCCATTAGCAGAGCTGAATTTACTGCTGTCTTGGTCTCTTTTCCACCTTTCTGCTGGCACCATTCTGGGTGTTTTTTGCTATTGATTTGGCATTTCCATTTATTCTTCTGCAGGCTATTAAAATTATTTTAACACAGCTCATAAGAATCACACTGGAAAACTACTCAAATGTTCAGAAGATATTTGTCTGACATTCTACTCCCATATTCCACAGCAATAGTCCTGGATATTCTCCATAAAGTTGGAAGAGAAGCCTGCCAAATACTGAACTAGCCTGGCAGGTGGTTCAGAGCTATTTTTTCCACCAGGAACTCAAAAAATACAGCAGACACAAATATTTCATGGGATATATTCACAGGTCACGCCTGACAAAGGAAAGCGTTAAGCTCATAAATTAAGCTCACTCCTTTTCAGTAAGCTGAGACTGATATGTGGCAGAATAAAAGCATTTGGTCCAGCAGGAATCCAGAGCAAAACTAAACCAGAGATCCCTCAAACACAGACACCAGGTAGTTGAATTTTTTTGATAAATTTTATTTTCACTTTTTAAATGTGCAAATAACTTGACCTCTGCTGGGCCAGTTCAACTACTGGGGGAATACAGACATAGAGGCAACATATGGTATGTCTGTGTCTTTACAAGCATTAGAAATGTAGCAAATATTCACTTTCCAAATAAAATAAAAAATATTTTTTTAAGACTATCTGTCCCAAACGTCTAAGACTCATGTTATATGATCTCAAAATTCCAATATACCACTAGGGAATAATCTTGGTGGGAGGGCTGTACATTTTTGAAGCATCACTCTTTCACATACTCGAGCTTCAATTTTTTTCAGTAATATAAACAAAAAGCCTACACTTTGCTAAAGGAAAGCTCATAGTTTCTCACATGCATGTGATACTTAGCCCAGGGCATTAAAAAACATCAAATACTGCATGAGTTGACAATGCTATATTTCAATGTAATTCAATTAAAATACTAATCTTAGGGGCTGCAGGAATAACTAAAGACAAACCAAGGATGGAGGGAGAAGGGATAGGATTCAGAATAAGAGCAACTAGTATAAACCCACATAACGTTATCTGAGTTTAAAGGGCAGTGAAAATACTCTGCAAAACAATATCCTGAGGACACAAAAAAGAAAATCCATATAAAGGAAAAAAAGATAACCAACAACAAAAAAAAAAAAAAAGCAGCAAAGGCAGGAAAATTCCCTTTATGAGCATCTCCAGCGAGCTTTATTGAAATAAAAGGTGATCAAGTGGTTCTATAATCCAAAGTGAAGTCTATAATCCAAAGTGAAGATCCCAGCACTTTCTGGGAAAAGTCCAGTCCCCTTGAAAAGTAGAGAAGGTGAGCAGCTGAAGTGTTGAGTGTTAGAGCTCAGCTCTGGAAAACCTTTGTTTGCATGTAGCTGATCACAAGACAAATAGCTTCTGGAAATAGGCTCAGGCAAGATCCTCCAAGGGGAAATGTTTTGCACATTACATGGCCATCATCAGTAACAGGTAGTAAGTTTTTACATTTATCATATGCAGCAAATTTAATATAAACATGGCTTTCCTGTTAGAGGAGCAGAACACAAATGTCTCAGAGAAAACTGTGCTCTGAGTTCCTCTGATTTTTCCTCATGCACTTAACACCTGTGAGGAACGTTAGAGGAACCAACACAATATTCCAAAAAACCATGTGACTGTAGTCATAGCCAGATACCAAGCCAAGACACTAAAAAATAGATCCTAAAAGGTTTTTTTTCAAGCACTTAAAAAAACCCCTCAAATTCCTTTATCCCAGGCACTTTGCTTCTCTGCATAGATGTAGCAAAACCTTTCTCTAACGTGGTTTCTTACAAAATTACTAACTCAGCTGTAAAAAACACCTATTGCCCACGGCACAAACATCAGTTTTTTTGGTAAACAGAACATCCCAAGTTTTTTCCTTGCTTGATCTTTTCTGTGATGAATATTGATAGGTACTTTTGTTCTCCAAATGCTTCTTTTCCTGACCTTTTTAAAAAGACTTTGGCAGTTAATTCAACTTCACTAATTATATGCTAATTTCTGTACATGGTTTCTGATTTTACATACAATTTCTACAGTTGCAAAGCTTGTGTTTTCACCAATAGATATTGCTGAATGCAAAATAAAGCTATATGATCAAGCTGTCTTAATGAGTAATATTAACTGGAGAGAGCCTGCACAGAGAGCATAAACCCCCAGATTTCAAACTGCATTTGTTACCCACACTTTTACAGAAGTGCATGCCTAATTCCTATACAGACAGAACTTGAAATCCATGCTAAAGAGTTGTATTAAATGCCTGAAGATACCTACAGATGTTTCTTGTAGCCTCACAACACTACTTTACAGTCTTTAATTTCTGTTAAGCATATTTAACTAATTTTGCCTATTAATGCTGTGTCATCTGAGAAGAAACTTCTCAAGCAACTCTCTCCCTATGACATCTCTGAGTTCTTTTGACCCATTTCATATGCTGATTCTGAAAACCTGGTATTTGCACTGATTACCCACCCTAAAATCTAAATTGGGGAGAACAGAGCTGGGGGAGGTGACAGATGTGCACTGAGCTCAGAAAGTAGCCTGAACAGAGCCATTGGTAAATGCCTGAAATACCACACAGCAGATATCAATAGCTGCAACATTAAGATAAAGACATCTTGGTGACCTGGGGGGCAAACGATCAAGTCATGCTGCTTGTAGACAGCAGTGTCAATGTGTTCCAAAATTAGCACTACATATTCTACTAAATGCAAAATCACCAGGAGTGGGGATTAGCATCAGCCAGCTTCTTAAGAACTATTTTTCTACTTACACAGCAGTTTAATAATCTTAACGGTGAGAGGAACTGAGCTGCCATGGCTATCAGCTAATTGCCTTAACATGTACAAAACACCATAAAAATTTCATGCAACATCTGTTTAGCAACTATTCATCATGGACATGTTAACAAAATCCTTTATTTGCACCACTCCATCAACTACCAGAAATCATATATACTTTGCTGTTGCCAGCTTATTTAAAGTTCTTATTATCTACAACTAGCAGGTTATCTGAATGCTCCCAAACACAGAATTAAAGCAAAATAGTATTAATTTTTGTAAAAAATATGGTTTCAGGCTTCATTGTAAATGCAAAAGTCACCCAGACCCATTCATATGCAAAAGGCTCAGCATCACAGTTTCTAAAGCCCAGACATTAAGCCAAGATGAAGGCTGTCTTGTTAACCAGAATTACCTCAGGACAATGGGCCCTAAAAGCCATAAGAAGTTAAAAATATCATAGTAGTAAAAAATAGAGGTTATTAAGTTCTACATAAATGTACTGCTTCCATTGGATGTCTACCAGTCAAGGATGAGAGCATCCAGACTGTGACTCCTCATGCCACAAATCACTGTCCATGTCCAGGGGATGTCTTCTCCCCTTGGGAAACCCTCTGGATTCCACCAGAAGACAAATTCTCTCCATGGCACTCTAGCAGGCACTGCTTTCTGCTACCCATCTCACTTCAAAGCAGTCAAATACATTTAACTGACACCTGTTTAAATCTTTTTCATCAGCTTCATCAAGGCTGAAAGTGTCACCAGAGCATTCATCCCATCACCCTTGGTGGGTTATTTCACCACCCTACGTGCCACATCTACAAGTAAGAGTTCTATCTCCCTACAGAAACATTTCAGTGACTTGGAGCTAGACCTTACTGGGGTAACCCTTGCAGTTTTTGACAACAACTCTATTGAGATTACATGAGAAATCTGAAAACAATTCCTCATCTCCCAAAGGTACACCAAAACCATCCTAAAGAAACTATCAGAACCAAAATGACTTATTATGTATGACATATGGATTGAAATTATTAGCAGACTTAAGACAGTTAAAGCTACAAAGAATTTTTTAAAAGATTATTTGATATTCATCATTGTTCTCACTATTTTCCTGTCCAAGAATAAAGAGATATATGACAAAAAAAAGTCTGTGATGACTCTCCTCAGACTTCTTCAGTCATCTCAAAGAGAAAGAAAAACAACCTTTCCTCTCCCCCCACACCAAATCTAAGAGATGGAAAACATTAGTTACAAAAATCAGCCCAAAATTGTGGATTTTGTGGTAGTGAAAGAGATTTTGCCATTTTAAATAGTGCTCAGAACACTGCATGTGTAGGGTCTTTTTTTAAATTATTTTGCTATATTAACGCTTCCTCTGAAACCACATTCTGAATGTGTTCCATCTGATAACTGTGCAATGCAGAAATTATACACTTGGAAAACTCATTATAAGATGACAGCATTATGTTAATGTGTACTAAAAATTACTACAAGTTGTAACTTTAATTTTCCCTACCTCCCCCCTCCAAAAAGAAAAAAACATGAAAGGAAAAAAAAAATCATATTTGGCCAAGGAGTATGATTTAATAAGATAATACATTGTTGACTCACCACAGCATGTGCTATGTCTCATCTATAGGAAATAGTTCAAAGGCATCAACTTCATGCATGGGTTGCCATAGCTGATATTTGAGTCTGGCCTGCTGTTGGTACAGGTTTCTACTACTAGCCCTAAGCACAAAAAAAGAGAAAGAAATATTTGGGGTTTATTTTTCAAGTCTGATCAACACAGAAAATTTCAGAAAACTAAACTAACCTGGAATACCAATATCTGCACATTATATAACAAAGAATTTAGATTTTCCTCTGATAATACCATAATGCATCCCATTCAGGCAGTATCTGTACCATAAGTTTCCTTTCTTCCACACAAAGAAGAAAGGCAGGAGACAGAAAATAATGCAGAATGTTAAGTGCTGTTTAAATGGGAGAAGTGTGTCACAGCTATTCTCCCACCAGTAAAAAAACACAGGAAAAAAAAATCAAGGCCTTAGTGCTCAAGAGCACATGTTCAAGACTGTTCAAATTGAAACAGATGGTACTAAAAAAAAAAAAAACAACATAAAACTGATCTAAAATAATTATTTTTGTTTCTATACTATCTATCTTTCTCAGGCCAGATCATCAATTTTTTCTTTGGAATGAGGAAGAGCAGAAAACTTCACCTATGACAAGTTGAGATATGGACACAGTCACCTGCCACCAATACCTGGGGATGGTAATTAAATTTAATTTGTGACATTATTAACAGCTTTAAAAACTGTGTGATATGGATAGATACAGGCATCAGGAAAGGCCTGTGAATTAATGCTGTTTATCAAATAAGCATCCTCTTAAAAACAAATAACTCATGTGACAAAAAAGTTCAAGTGACAAAGCACAGGCAGCCAAGAAACTCAAAGACAACCTCAAGAACTGTAGGAAAAAGCAAATGCTGTGGTATTAAGATAGTGAATAAGAGAAGTAAAAATCAAACATGGTGTTCTGGAACCTAACCAGTGAACAAAATTAGGTTGTTACTTTTAAGTACAAGGTTTGACCTGTATCCCAACATGCTTTCAAGTACCTGAGAACTAGGACTTCATACTAAGAACAGCAAATGAAAAATCCTCATGGGAAAACAACTCCTTAACAAAAAAGAGCCCAATTCAGGCTCCTGAAATCCCACCCTCAAATTACAGTTCCTAATTTGCTGGGCTATTGACCTCTTAGTGTAGAATCCTGGTGAAGCAGCTATTGACTTGACTGGAAGGCTCTTCTGGACCTCCAACTTTTACTGACAATTACCTCACAAAAGTCCTGAGACAGTCCAACAGACTCAAAGATGGGTGTTAGATCAGGTCCTAACACATCCCAGATTTCCCATGTCACTGCTGTGATGTGAGCAAGGGGCTGCACTCACGGGGTCATCAACATGGTCTTGCTCTTAGATGGGAGAAAAGCCCAGAACCTGCCTGAAAACACAACAGTAGCTTTGCCTTTTTCTTGCTATAAAAAGACACTGCCTTGTGCTCCAGGCATAGTCAGGAAGATCCTAGGGTACAATAAAGCCCACGAATTCACATCCTTTGTGTAGAAATGAAACTGAGAACATGCCACCATCACTAGTGAGTGAGTTCACACACTGAAACTTCTACCCGAAATCTCACTGTTTAAAAAAACATTAAGACTGGAACATTTTGGGATTTGAATTCCCTGCCTTTCTCTTCTAACAGCTAGCCAAGATTGACTCTAAAGCTTGCTAAGAAAGCTACAGCTATCAGGCTAAAACACAGTAGAGCAGCTCAAGAAGAGCTGTGTGACTTTCATAAACAGTGGAGAGGGGACCAGGAAATTCCATCCCATCCCCTCTACTGCTTTTGATTTCTCCTTTAATCACTGGTGGTCCTTTCATGAAGGTTCATTTTCCTTGCAAGTAGCCTTCAAAACATTAAGTGTCCAAGAATCATAGAAAAGGAGTATACTCACACATACACTGAATATATAAATTATATATATACTGAATATATATGCTATATATTCAGTATATATATATTATATTGAATATAGTATATATATTAGTGTGTATATATATATCCGTATATATATTATATATAGCATACATATTCAGTATTGTACGTTCAATGAAGACTCTCTCCTTTACTCCTGATGACATAACAGAGCAGCAAGTATGGTGATTCTGCAATCACTGGGCTTTCAGGACATCATTTCTAGTACTGCTGTTAATGTAAGCTCAAAATGTAATCACTGGAATGGGAGGGGCTATGAGTATAGAATGCTTGTGACAAAACCCCCAAAAATGACAAAAAACCCAAAAATTTACTTGGATTTGAAAATTTATCAACAAGCCGGTGATATTTTTTGTAATTTGGAATTGTGCAAGGAACTGGATAGTATCTACTAAACAACAGTTTAAGAGATTGCCAGTTTTAAAGCTGGAGGCCTTTCCCTAAATGCAGCTTTTCTCTCTTCCAAGTCTTAAGAAAATTATGATGCTGTCTGCAAAAGCAATGCTAAAATCACCCTCCTTTGGGCCTGCTTTAGCACTCCTTTAAATTGGATGAATTTTGCAATGAACTGTAAACTACAATGAACTTTATGACCTTCTCCAATACCATGGCAGTGAAATTTTGATAACTCTCTCTTTGCTTTCCCAAGCCAGATTTGGTACTGTAACACTGTTTGAAGGTGTATTGATCCAGTACTGTTAAATCACTAAAAAACAGCTGCAAACATGCCAGCCACTGACAGCAGGGAAAAAAACCCCAAACCTACAAGAAAACACTCATCCCTGTCATCTGCTCATAGAAACCTGTGTGTGCACTGAAGGAGCTTTTTAACAATGAGAAGGACATTTTCCAAGGAGGCAGACAGGCAGCTAAGTTAACTTATTTTTCATGGTAAGTGATTTCTGTCCTTATCCTATTTAGGAACATCCTTGTAATCTTAACCCTCCTCAACAACACCATAATTACAACAGGACCCTGAAAAATTACGCATACTCTGAAACAGCAGGAGAGAGCTATGAGCAAGACTGCAGTTTATTGAGAGTCAGGGAAAAAGAATATTGTTTAATGGCTGAGGTCAAATCACCTTTGTCGTTCACATCCGCATCCCTGTAAGACAAAGTCATTAGCTGAGCCAGCTGAAAGGGTATTCCTGTGCCACCATTCCTAGCGGGAAGAGAGCAGACAGCCAGAGGACCACAGAAGAAAATTTTGCTCCAGTGCTCCTGCCTAGTGATTACACAGCATTGTACTGAAAGAAGGTTAAAACAGGGGGGGTTTGGTGCACCCCATTTTCCCCAAGGCATGGGGACTGAAGATAGGTTACACAGGGGCAAAGACAAACATCCCTGTGCCATACCTGCACCAGCCTGTTCTGTCTTTACCCTTCTCTTTTGCTAAAGCTGGGCTTGCAGGACAACCTCTGTGTCCTCCATCAAGCTGATTTCAGACTCCTCTGATTAGTTACAATACAGTTATTTGCATGTTCCTCCCAATACATTTCTACTCCGTGCCATAATTTCCCTCAAAATTTGTATTTCCACATAGTGTCGGTTTGCCCCGTAGAAGTCTCTGATAAAACTTACAGTGAACATATCAGAGGAGGGGAAAGTTGCACTGAGATATCAGGAAGCTCTGCAGCAAAAGGAGCCCATGTAAACAAGCTGACAATCCCCCAGCACACGAATGGTATGAAACATGCCCATCCATCATGGTTCACTGGGAGCACAGCCTGCTTATTAAACAATGCTGTAACACTTAATTATCCAAGGCAAATTTCTGTTATTTCTAATAATGTCACTCTGCTGTAAAAAACAAAACCAACATTTCATCCTGTAGCAGTAGCTTTTTCTGCCAGAGGATCTCCCTGCAAAGCAACATTGATTTCACTGCAGCATCTACAGATTGTTAATTCTCTTTTGCAAAATAACTGGCCCATAGATTGCTGTAAACACTTCTCCTGAAAGCTCTGTGGTTCTGTTAAACCCAGTGGGCTGAGTTGTTTACTTGAATCCAAGCAATGTGGAAGAGTGATGATTAAAGGCTACTTTCTTAAAAACAACCCCCACCCCCACATCCAACAAGGTCTGTCAAACATTTCCACATACACACTTTTTTTTTTGGCTTTCAATCACTCTGCAAAAGGCCAAGACTTCTATCCTCTGAATCTTCCAGCTCCCCGTCCTCTCTCTATTTTTCCACATTCAAATTTTCCACAGCTGTTTATGGATGGATTACCATATATATACCCCTCACAACACCCTCATCTTCCTCCTGAGCCGCAAGCCAAGGCACCTCCTTCCCCCCAAAGCCCGCGGGCAGCGTTAGAGGCGATGAGGCAGAGTAAACCCCAGTGTTTACAGGAGCCAGCTGGTGAAGCAGCAGCAGCACCACAGTGCCGTGCCCGGCGTGCCCCTGCCCCGCTCCAGTGTCACCCACAGCGCCCAACACCACCGCTGGTACCCACCCGCACCGACAGGAAAATGATGCTCCTCCGGCCACAAAATGGACAGGTGCAGCCTCCTTGCTTCGCTTAGCAGTTTACTTCATTAACCTCTCTCTCTCCCCCTCTCCCCCTGCTTTAATATTTTTTTTTCCTCCTCAAGCAGCAATCAATATTCATCACCCCACCCTGCGAAAGCAGTTAGTCAAAGAATATTAGCATCAGCCACCTACCATTCCTTGCTCGCCAGCTATTCTCCTCGTCCAGAAACCTTTTCCCCAAACTGCGACTTTAGGTGGTATTTTAAAATCACATTCCAAACAGTGCCGAGGAAAAAAAATGGGCTATTTATAACAATAGAGAGGGGGGGAAAAAAAAGGAAAAAAAGGAAAATAAAAGAAAAAAAAAAAAAAGATGGGCAGTTAGTTTCAAGGTAAATCACCGTTTTCCTTTAAAGAACTGAATAAAAGCCTGGGGAAGAGGGTAGAAGAGAACAGAAAAAGGGGAGGCAAAATGTCTGATAATAATGAAATAAAAGGGGAGGGGGGGAAGAGTGGCTTGCTGAATCACGCTCTTTCACTGCCTGGAAACCATTGTGCAGCGTGATGCTGGCTGTACCATTGTGGAGCCTACCAGAGGAGACAGGCAGAGAGCTTGGGGAATGGGGCTGCTATGGCAACTGAAAGGAGCACACGTGACGTCAAAGCACACAGAGGTCTCGCAGGGGGAGGGAGAGAAAAATCCAATCTGCAGCCACAGCCACGGTATCTCCTGGAGAATCAGGGGATAGAGCAGCCTGCAAAGGGAAGCTGAGCAGCCTCCTGTAGCACTCACCAGCAGCAGCAGCTCAGACATCCGCAGTACAGAGAGAAGGGGTAATAGCAAGAGAGAAGAGGTAATAGCAGTGTGGATCTGCTCTTTCGTTCACATTACCTGCTAGACAAAGGCATAAATGCTCATCACCCTAAAAAATGCAAACATCTTTAAAATTCAATCAAGCTTCAGCCTGGGAGAGGGATTTAAAAAAATAATAAAATTACAACACATCTCCTGCACAGCTATTGAACACAGATACTGCTCGAATGAACAAGCAGTGCAACTCTCTGAGTCCCTCAGAAGCCCAAGGACCTGCTAAAGATCTCCCCATCAGCAGTAGCCTGTGCCCACTGCTAGACTGCCACAAATCCCACTTCTGAAAACTACCACTGCACAGAGGAAATATTGCATTTTTTGCTCACAGAACCAAGCAGAGTTGGTGATGACTTCTGATGCCCTCCAGTTTAAAAATTGAGCAGATAACATTTCTTCTGCACATATCAAACTGCAGGATGTCTTCTCTCATCTGACATAAAACAGCAAAGAGAGTACACTGGAAGGCTACTACACGTCCATGAGATTTAGGCTGGGATAAGAGCTAGTCAGAAATATTATCATACAATCATAGAATGGTTTGAGTTGGGAGCAACCTTAAAGATCACCCAGTTCCAATATCCCTGGGCAGGAATGTCATTGATTTGACCAGATTGCTCAGAGCCCCACCCAGCCTGGACTTGTACATTGCCAGGGATGGGACATCCATTCTTTCATTCATCTTTCATCCATCCACCCATCATTCTTAATATCTAACCTAAACTTGCTCTTTTTCAGTTTTAAGCCATTCCCCCTCGTCCCATCACTCCAGGCCTTGTAAAAAGTTCCTCTCCATCCTTCCTGTAGGCTCCCTTCAGGTTATACAAGGCCACCGTTAGGTCACCCCAAGGACTGCTCCAGGCTGAACAATCCCAATCCTTTCTGCCTTTCCTCCTATTATGGTGACATTCTATCTTGCCAAAAATACCCTTTCAAAGAACCAAACCATTTTCTTCAGTATATCAATTTCATTGGTCAAAAAGAACACCAAGGAACTCATTGCAGCATTCTGGCCACTGGTCTGAATATTCCACAGGTTTTACCACACCCAGAGCCAAACACAGTCCTGTGAGACCAGGAACTCAAACACAGAGGTTATCTAACCCAGGTTGGGTAACTCCTGCTTTTCTCAGGGCCACCCAAGTGCCTTTACCAGCCCATACATTGACATATGGCATGACACGCAAACATTTAAATCGTTTAACCTAACTATAGATCAAGAGAAGTCCCTGAGCTATTGGTTGCCCATTCTTGCCTACATATACCACTCCCCATTCTCCATCAGCCTGTTTCTTATTTTTTGGATGTGAAGGCTTTTGTTTTAATTCATGCATCATTCCTGCATACATGAATACATGCATGAAGGTCTGAACACATTCAGTTGCAGCGAGAAAAAATTCTACAGTTCCAATTTTCACACAGCTGCCTTTCCCCACCCCATTTACCTAACAGCTCCACCACAAGCCAACCATCACCACAGAAAGGCCTCCCCACACTCCACATATTACCAAGAGAAGACCTGAAGATGTCCTGCCATTGTCACCAGTGCCCTGTGGAGGCACAAAGGGCAGCAGGGCACAACTTCCACTGCAGTTTGGGAATGCCTGCACAGTAGAAACAAGCAATAAGCCAGATAAATGTGTCAAGCTACTGGTCTCAATACAGATCTTCTTCAACAATTCACTATTTTTAGGTAAAAAAACAGGATGAAATTACCTGTCTGAAAGATTTTTTTTCTTAAAATATATCCATACACATATTTTTCTGCATTACAAAAACATTCAGCATACAATAAATTTAAATTTCATCAAAAAAAAAAAAACAACAAAGCAACAAACCCACATTATTGTGTGAGTCAGGAAAATATCTTTGAAAATAGCACTAACTGACCACTCACTGGTGCAGAAGGGATTAAGGGTGGCTGCTTCTGACATAATTACAGGAGTGGGGTTGGAGAAACAGAGAGGAGACAAAGAGCCTAATCTTCTTCAGCAGTGACAGCAGCTTTGGAGTACAATTAGGATACTTGCCCTGGAAACAATGTATCTAATGGAAAATAGTGGCTTTTCAAATGCTTCTTTCCCCAATCACCCCAAGGGATGCTGCTTCCTCAAGCTCAACACCAGATCTCTCCACATTCATCTCAGGTGATTACAGTGCCCTCCCAAGACGCTTCACTAGCTGGGCCAAGATACAGCAAGGTGCCACAAAACGCATTCCACACTGGAATCAGGCCTCAGCTAAACACTGTAATGGCCTGACACAGTGCATCAGACCGGCATCTAACAATTTAAACAGATCATTTTTGGCACCAGTTTCCCAGAATAGCTGCCCCAGTCCTAACTGGTGGCTATGCTCTCTGTGGCAGGTGAGGCCAGAAGGGGCTATGGTCTAAATTTAAGGTCGACTGGATGTGAGCAGATGTTTACAGCACAAAATTAGCTACAAAGGTCACAACGAGCCAACTAAATTAATTTCAGCTAAGCTCTTGGACCTCCTCTTTGTGCCTCTAAAGCACTGAGTGTTGGTCCTCTTAGTACAAAAATAATTTCACTTCAAAGGCAAACTCTGCATACAATTTGTATCCCAGGAGATGAAAGCTGGGCTGTACCTGTGTCACTGATTTTCATGAGACACACTGGGAGCACGTTTCTCCCAGAGCCTGCTGCGTGGATGGCTGAATGTAGCCACTCCTAAATTGCCACAGTTTGCAATCCAGCACATCAAAGCAATCTCAGCTTGGTGATGGCTTAGTGCAGTGGGTTGCAAACTGTGATGGTTTAAGAGCTGCCACATGCCCCCTTCAGCTCTGCCTGCCTTACAGGGGTCATATTTCTCTGAATCATGTTAAATTAAGGCCACTACAATAAAATCCTAGTGAGAAAGCATCTTCATGTTTTAAGGCATAAAGCAACAAACCAATCTCTGAACAAATTCTTCCACCCAAGTCAGTGCTACAGCCAGGACTAAGGGATTTCTCAAATCACTTTCAGTCACAGATTTTTATGACTCCAGCCTGATGCAATGCTGCACTCTCCAGTGGAACAGTGAAGACTCTGCCAAGCTCTCCATGGAACCAGCCACTGCTGTTCTCCCCAGGTATGTACCCACTGTACACGAAATCCAAGTGTGTCTTTGTTCCAAAACTATTCTTCAAGAAGGGTGCAATATAACAAACTCTTTTTTTGCAGCTCTCCTTTGTCTGCCATACAACCCTCCACTGTACTGAACTTCTCTGCTAGTTTTTAACAAAATCCAAAAATTTGCAATGCTTTCTTATTCAGTCTCATTATCAAGGAAAAATTACTGATGAAGGTTGACCTGGACTTTACCCCAGACAAAAGAAATAATAATCTTGGATTTTGTGTTCAACTCCATCAAGAGACCTTCAAAGCCATTACATTTTCTACATTGTTATTATGCCAATGGTTGAGAAAGGCTTTAAAAAATGGAAGAAAGCTACACATACTCCTTAATCTCTTTCACCCCTTTCCTCCCTCTTCACTGCTACTTCATAAAGAAGTGGACATTTTAACCTCAGGACTTCTTTTACTTTGATATACAAGTGGAAAACTGTAACAGAACTAAACTGAGATGGTGTATTAACTATGACCAGCATCATGTCAGCTTTCTATATAACTCTGAGGTGGTAAAGCACAATCTAAACCTTCCTGTTACCTTCCTGAGGCCTGACCCACACAGAGATGCTGCAATTACAAAGCGTAATTGGAGACAAAGCCGGGTAATCGAGAACAGGCAGTGATATCACAGGACAGGGCACGGCTCTTGGACAAGTCCACTTGATTCATTTATTCACAGGGGAGGTTTTAAGTGAAGGAAACAGTGAATCAACACAACAGATGCACCAGAAGAATTCTTAAAAGACAGACTGATTAGCAATAAGCAATCTAAGGAGTTGCACTGATCTCTTGCTTGTAGTTTGTACAAACAAGAACAAAATCCAGCAGATATCTGACCAAAACACATTATTTTAGATACTGAAATCCTAGCTTAGATGTAGTAGAGAATAAGAGCAAATTCAGAAAAAAATGGTTCTTCAAGTCAAGAGTGCTTTTCATTACCCATACATTCCTAAATCAAATCTAAGATAGGACAAAGCAAATCTTAGCAGATATGCATTGAGCAGCAAAACCACAGGCAGTAACACAGGGGAAATGAGCACATAAATGCACGCACATGAATACACAAAATTGAAGGGTTCAAGCTTTTATATTCATCAACATTAGAAAAGGGATGTCGTAATAGCAAGCCCATAAACATGAAACAGCAAGGTCCACACATATGTCACCAGCAGTTAATTAGACGTACAAAACTGGACTGTTAACTACTTACTTCAGTAAAGGGAATGAACTTAACAAATAACTTCAAGCATCCAAGTGTTAGAGAAACAGGATTGTCTTGTTCTACATGAAACTATTTCATCTGTACCTTCAATTACTGCGTCATTGGTGAAAAATATTTTACTGCTTATTTGATGACACACATATCAAAATAATAACTTTGGTACACAATAATACTGCTGCCATTTTTGAAACTGCTTTGTCTGCTGTCAAGGGCTGCATGTCCTGTAAAAGTCTAGCAAATAAATATACCCTAAAATGCACTAATACAATTTTGAATAAATTTATCGTGGATGTTTTATTGTTCTAATGATATAAAACATTACATAAAGCGCTAAAGGTGCCATAAACCAAATGCTCACTATGAAAAAGAAAACAACC